TTAGTAGTCAACCACTACATCATATGTCTGCCTGAGGCTTTTTTCTTCGTTGTTTAATCGTCATGTTTCAGATGCATCCACGTCGATCTGAGGGTCTCAAAACCGCTATCGCATTCTGTTGTCTGATGTTGTCGGCGTTTCTGAATTTCTTTCTGTTGACGGTGATTCATGACGTTGTACCTCGTCAACCACTTCCTGATCTCACTTTCATGATCATTCCACAGCAAAAGTGGGCTTGGTCCGTAGGAGATGTGCTCTCCACTGTCAGGTTAGCTTTGTTTGAAGGTTTTGTTTCGTAATTACTTCAGAACTTGTTTCAGATGAACATGTGTTGATGATCAATGGCCCGTGCTAGGGTGTCTTCCATAAACCTTAATTTCTTACTTATTTGGTTTTGTTCCTGACAGGTGGGGGGGGGGTCTTCCAGGTCAAGCTTTTTCAAAACGGTTTCTTGCATATTGTAGGGACGCATGTATGGACCACAAAACCATGTTTCGTTTTCGCTGAACGGTTTTAGTAGTACCAAAAAAGTGGTGAATGATACCTTGATGGTTCGATCCCCCGCGGCGACTAAATTTTGCAATCAAGGTTGGCGGCCACTTGTTGGCTTCAAAATGGTCCTGACGATGAATATGACATCTGATTTTGACATTTAGCGCGATTTGGCACCAACCGTAGGCGCCAACCCAAATGCAAAATTTAGTCGCCACGGGGGATCGAACCTTAACAGTACCTTATGCTTCTTTTTTGGTACTGCTATAACCGTTCAGCGAAAATGAAACATGGTTTTGCGTTCCCTACATGCGTCCCTACAATATGCACAAAACCGTTTTGAAAAGCACACCTCGCCCTGAAAGATCCCCCTTGTGAGGAATTTAGGCTAAGTATAAGGAAGATCGGCGTCATACAATCTAAAAGTTTTTGGCATATTGTTTTCGAATACTGTACTCCAAAGGGCCTATGACCTCGGGTGTTTCGAGACCCATTATTTACCATACATGTTGTTTTTCCGTACGTCATTTCTGAATTTTAGGACTTTTTTGCATGCCTGTGCCCAATCGTTACTGTTTAATTTCGGCATTTATTTCTTTTTATTTTCTCCTACATTTCCAGTGATCTTCCTTAGAATTCGTATTTCAGTTCTGTGATGGCATTTACCGTTGTGCTACTTCATCACGAACGATGGGTAGTTCTACGTCGAATGTTTCTTCTTGGTGCAATAATGTACGGGTTACGGGCTGTTGTTCTAGGGGTAAGTTCAACGCATGCTATAAATTTTGAGCGATCAGTGTGCTGATCAGTTTTATTTTTCTCCATTCCGTTAGATCCAGACGGGTCCCATTTGTTGATTAGATGTTTGCAAAAATAGCGGGTGTGTCAATGGTGCTGTTGTAGAAATACTATTGATTGTGAACAGCTGCGTGTAGTCCACCTAACGAGGCGTCACTTTTTATGTTGTAAATAAAAATATGCAGCGGTGTATATTGTTTTCGCCCAAGCTGATTGTGACCTTCTCAAGTGACGATATGTTGGCTGATCCTAGCTTTTATGTTATTAAACAGAGTTACAGTTGTAACAGAGTACATTTTGCCTGTTTTGCTGTGAAATTTCTTGCAAGATCGCAAAGATCTACAGATATCTCTTCCATACTCCCACTGCGGGTGCTAATGTACTAGGAGGGGGAAGGGGTGTAGCGTGGCGCAGAACTTCTCAATGCTTTCAGAGCCACGACAAATATTTCCCCTTTAACATATGCTTGGTACCCTTCTTGCAAAAGCGCAATGATTCATAGCTCACTTTTCCTGTGGAAAATTGAATCGCGGTTGCTGGTTTTAGCTACCGCTCCGCGATGCCTCCTCCCCCGGTGAGCAGCGAACGAAGTCAAAGTGGTTGTAAGGTAAGGCTGAGACAAAAAGCCCAAATAAAAGAGTAGAGTGACGCTTGTCTATGGGAGAGGAGTTCGTATGTGACCGAGTTGAAAGGGTTATACTGGAGTAGCAATATCGAAAGTCCATGCATGACAATGTTCAGTGATTGAACACTTTGAAAGGTAGAAATCAGTTCCATATTACTTTCCATTTTTTGTAACTCCTTTTGTGTTCTGAATATGTTGCCGATTAACACTATTGTGTTTTAATGAACGTACTTTCACTAATCTCAAATTCAGGTTACCTTTCTTCCTCCATCTTTCCACGATCGCGATGAAATATGTCTTTCCCAGGTGAATCGATCAGCTATGTACGGCATGGAGATTGCAACTAGGTATGCAACTGTTTGATAAATTAAGTACTATCCTTTGTGTGAAATTTTCCCATTTCCCCAATTTTCCTTTTACGTTTGCTAATTTTGAGTTTTAGTTTGCCTTATCATTTCTTATTGTCGATTGTTTTTCTCAAGTTATCGAAATCGTTCCTCTTCAAATTCAGTGAATAGATGAAATTTTGATCTAAGTTCTGCAATTTTTCACCGAAAGAGATCAAGCG